ATGTTGAGTGGGGTTGGAATAGTTGCAATTACTACACCATAAATCTCAGCATTACATTGAATTTGATATATGTGGTTTCCCAGGTAGAGAGGCTTATTAGAAATGTGTTGCTTCTAGAAATGACACATGTCTGAAAACAAATGCTTAATTTTGAAATCTAGAAATCCAGTGTGCCATTTGCAAAAAGCTTGGGTATTGGACCAGAATAACTTTCCAATGAGACATGTAAATGTGTGATCTGAAATCTATTATAATGAGAACAAAGCACAGACAAGTGAACACTTACTTGGTTTCTGGTTGCCCACATTCCAGATAGAGCTAACAAAAAATTATCTTGGTTGCATCATTCTCAATGAGATCTTCTCCCAAGCCCATGTTTTTTAAGAGTTCTAGATTGATCGCTGCTTTTGAGCTCTTTTTTGCTGTTTACAATTAAGCAAAGGGGAAAAAAAGCATTGTGTGTCTATATCTACATTTTACATTTTTTACCAATACAGTAGTTGTCCTATATGTCAAATAATTACCTCCACTGTTTTTTTTACAGAAGAGACCTTTCTGCATGGCTTTACAACAAGAAGTGGTGGTATAACCTGCATTCCAACTCTTAGTAGTTTAAATCTTTTCTGCAGTCCCAAAAGGAAAGATCCAACAGCGGTTGTTGAAGAGAACTTTTGCCGCCTGGGAAAAACTGCAGGATTTGATCCTCAGACTTATGTTCCAATAAAGGTAGGTTACATTGTCAAATGCTATCTTAGAAAGTCTGTCATGAGAGACCACTGGGTCTGCCATTGCTGATCTCTATTTCTGAAAATGTTAGTTACCTGGCTGTCATGATGAATCTCTTGTTTCAATACTTTGAGTTACTGACTTGGAAAAAGTATGGAGAAAAGACTCCTTGAAGCCATTGGGTCACTATAACAAAAAGCTCAGAAATGGCAGCCCCATATTTCTGTCATGACAGCTTAAATACAAGCTGCAGCACAAAGAATTCACTATAGAATAGAACAGAATTATATTGAGGCCTGAGATAATAAGCTAGAATTATCGCTGGACAAAGACTCGGATTTTCTACAAAATTACCATGTCGTTTCTTGAGGTCTTCCTATTATCATGACAACTAATGCACTCCATTATTCAGCTGGTCATAGGCATCAGACAGCAGATTGATCTTAGATGAATATTTCTTCTGTGAACGGGAACCACTTTTTTTTAATAACGAACTGCCTGCTAATAGAAAAGAGGAAGAAAAGAAGTGTCAATAGAATTAATATTAATCTAGATATCATTTTTCAAATGAAGCTTTGAAAATAAGGAAGAATCTACATGGCTTGATCCTACAATTGTGTGTATTGGTGTGTGTGTGACTGCACCATACTGTAACCCTCCATAGGGTAAATTTGTGCATGGCGCCTATGTACCCTGTAAAATGCCTTTTGTCTTTGTATAAATACAGAAAGCTGGTTATAGCAATAAAGACAGCCCTTTAAAGCCCAGTTCCGAGCACAGTTATCTTACTGGAGTTCAGTTGAACATTGCCTTTGTTGTAAAGCCACTTGCCATAATCAGACCTGCCTCCTCCCCACAAATCATTTGGGTGATGATTCCCAGCTCTCGGTGAGCTATTGTGCTCACTCCTGCTGTGGGCTGCAGATCTTAGCTCTAGTGAACGGCTCTAGCTGTAGTGCTGCAGGTATCGTAGATGAGTGCATCGGTCGCATCTTGGTCCCCCCCTTCTCCTGGCCAATGACAAAATGGAGCCTAGGGCCTCTTGCTTTGTGATTGGCCAGAAGAAGAGGGGGACCGAGACGCAACCGATGCACTGAGGTCTATAAGACCTGCAGCACTACACAGCTAGAGAGGGCATGGAAGTTTAGCGGGAGCTGATACCTGCAGGTACACTGATGATCTGCAGGAAGAAGTAGGCAGGTCTGATTATGGCAGGTGGCTTTACAGAAAAGACAATGCTGATCCTATTGAACTCCGGTAAGATAATGGTGCCCAAGGTTGGACTTTAAAAGATTTGGCAAATTCATTTTTTGTAAATACCAGAAATTTTACAATGCAACACAAATAAACACCTGATTCAAAGTCAAAGTAGGAAGGCCAGAACAATAAAAAAGATCTATAGTTGGGTTAAACTCCTTTTTGTCTTGCAGGTAGACCATGCGGAGATTGTTAAAATACTAGGAAAAACAGACCCGCAAAGATATGATGGAATAGTCACCAATCAGAAAGGAGTGACAATTGCAGCCCCTGGTGCGGACTGTATTCCAATCCTGTTCTGTGATCCAGTGAAAAAAGCTTGTGGAGCAGCCCACTCAGGTAATAACATTACTAACTTTATGTTAATCCAAACCAAAGAAACAAGGACTTTTATGTTACCTTAATCAATAAATGTCTTATTTTGAAGAAACAGATTAAAGATTAATGTATTTCTCCCATATGATAAAGACATCATATTCAAACATGGCTTATGCCCTGTCATTTAGTATAGGTGTTTACTGTGTATACATATCTCCCAACCGTCCCTCATTTGGAGGGACTGTCCCTCATTTGGAACAAAATCCCTCTGTCCCTCTTTTCTCCTCAGTTGTCGATCTTTTTGGTCTGATGTACAGATGCCTATGACACGGTTCTATCAACCATTACTAGTGTTATTATACACTAAAACCTTTATCCTATGTCCTAATTATCTTGTTTGGTATTTGAAATAGCCAGTATAAAGGAAACATAATGGTGGAAAAACAACAAATCTGGGTTTAACCAATCATTTTTTGGCATATGGATTTTTAATGTCACAATAATTGGGGGAGTGGCAGTGGTGTGTCCATTACCTAAATACATTGTGCTGGAAGGTATCCCTGTTTCTCATCTCAGACCATTGGGAGGTATGTATATAGTGCCAACAATTTAAAAATATTGTACATTTCACATTAGTCTCTGCCCTCAAGGAGCTTACAATCTAAGCTGCCTACATTAACAGTCATACACATACATGCTATCAAATTTTTGGAGTGTGGGAGGAAATCCATGCAAGCACAGGGAGACATGCAAACTCTGGGGACCCCATTGCTGCAAGATGGGAGTGCTGCCTACTAAGCCGCTCTTCTTTGAGACAACCGTGTCATTACACAATTAAAATAGGTTGTGGCCAACCATGACCTTAGGAGAAATTCTAACATGTTTCTAACATAGTCCACTTCTTCAGAGAATGCTTGCCCATTTCAACAGGGCGATATGTCAAAAAACTCAGCATGAAATTAGACCTTATCCACTAAAACTGCACAGAACCACCACTTCCTCCAATGATATATACTGTACATACGTGATCCTCCACAGATATTGGAGCCAAAGCACCTCTTCCAACCCAGGTTCAGTCACTGCAGTCGTGTCCCTGTCAGTTGGGCAGCATGGCGTTTGTTAGAGCCTGCTGTGTCAAAATCCCTCCTTGGGTCTAGGTTCACATTTATAGGTTCAGAACATCTAATAATGCTGCACAGAAAAAGGTAAAATAGAACACAGCTGACAAGGCCAGTTACAACATTGTACAGTAACAAATGGGCCTCTGGTGTGTAATCTACATAATATTTAATTATAGCTTATTTTAGTAAATTATAGAAGTATATTTCAAAGTGGTAGATATGCTCCTTATGTATTGTTTGAAAATGACATGTCATAAGCTGGAATTTCCCCTTAAAGCCACAGAAAGAAGAAGCAGAAGTTGTAAATGTGATGAGAATGTGATGAGAATACCTGAGTGTTTTATTTTATTGCTGTCTTGACAAAAGAGCAGTGGCTCATGGATACCATATACAGTCTGAACAGGGAAGCATGTAAAGAGCACTGTTTGCTATACCAGCAGCAGATAGATGACACACACTCAATTAAAACTTCAATTAAAAGAAATTTATTTTATTTATTGACAGTATCCAATGACAGAAGTAAATGAAGTCTTCTGTCTTTTGTCAAGGTGCTGAGATCACTTCCTGACAAATCAAGAAGCTAATGAAAATCACATACGGTGATCAATGGCCAGGTCACATTTAACCTCTGTTTGTGGCCTTTATGTATCAAGGACCTTAGTCTTTCCACTCAGACATTTGAAGTTTATTAAACCCAAGAACAAAAATGTAATATACTGCATCTTACCAGTTTTGGTGGCTGCATTCATTTTTTCCCCCTTTATTGACATTTTTGGTAGTTAAATAGAACCTTTTCATTGATATCTATACATTAGACCAAAAAGAGGGAAAAGTGAGGAGGAAAGTGTTCAGGATATCGTGCAGTCTATCCCAAGATCTGCTTGGCTGGTTTAACCAGTTTTTTTTTTATATACCGTATTTGCCGGCGTATAAGACGACCCCCTACTTTTTGTGTTAAAATATAAAATGTATATCAAATATAAAATGTGTTAAAAATAATGTTTAAATGCACCCACTAACATCCATGGCGGTATTCCCAAGTGTGGCTCGGGGTTAATTTTCAGTACCATAAGCGGTAACCCCGAGCCACACTAGGGATTACAGTCTTTTACCTTGTCCACGATCCCCGCTGTGTCCTCCGTCTTCCGCTGAGTCAATCACGGCAGGCTTTGTATTAATGAATACAGGCTTTGTATTGATTAATACAAAGCCTGCCGTGATTGGCTCAGCGCGGTATACTGTATGTAGCCGAAGCTACATACAGTATACCGTATCCTTCCGCATGTACCTGGCGTATAAGACGACCCCCGATTTTCGGGGGATGTTTTAAGGTCTCAAAACCCGTCTTATACACCGGCAAATACAGTATGTATTTATTTCCTATGCTCATCAGTTCCATTTAGTGGTCATAATGTATTATTACAACAATCTACATTCAAACTGGGAAAAATATATTAGAGGAACTTCACCATTATGATAAAATGGCAACAAGGGCAACCTTAGAAATGTTTAGTAATATCAATCTACAAACAGATACTTCTAGATAATCGCAGGCTTTTTTTGCATACCTTATTTTTCCTCCCCATTCTTCTCATGGTAGCCATTTTCACTAAGGGCACATTAAACCATCTCCCTTTACTCCTGGAGCTCTGGCACGTGACAGTGCACTTCACCTCAGGGGAAACAAATGGCTTTCTCTGAAATTCTGCGAGATTTTGCAGTTTACAGATGAGATTTCCCAGCAATGCACTGCTGATGTAACTTTCCCAGGATGCATCTCTTAGACATGGGCTATATCACTAATGCTTATGAATACCAGGAAGTAGAAAAACAATAACTGTAAGTAAAAGCAAAACATGTTTGTTTAACTGCTTGAAGACCAGGTGTTTAGATCCCCTACCTGGCCAGGCCATTTTTCAGTGTTCAGCGCTGCAGTACTTTGACTGACATTTATTCCGTCACGCAACGCTGTACTGAAATGAATTTTATACCATTTTTTGGGGACAGATAGAGCTTTCTTTTGGTGGTATTTAATCACCACTGCGGGTTTTATTTTTTACTATATTCAGGAGAAATTACTGAAAATTTTGAGAAAAAAAAGTTTTTTTTTACATTATGCTATAAAACAACTAATATTACCCACTTTTTTGGTAAAATATAAAAGACGGGGTCACGTCGGGTAAATAGACACCAAACATGTCAAGCGTAAAAATTGCGCGCACTCGCAAAATCGCAAAAAACTAGCATACCCAAAATTGGCCATAGGCGACGCTTTAAAAGCTTTTACCGCTCATCAGTTTAGTGTTATCAGTGATTGATGGCCCTAGAACTATTGCTCTCATTCCGACGTTCGCGGCGATATGTAACATGTTCGGAAAGGGGGCAGCACAAACAATGTGCAGCAGAGTTGCCTGCCGACCCCCACATGACCCAAAAAGATGCCGCCTCAATATAGGGATGACCCTGATTGACAGGTGCATTTGACCTGCAGTTGACCCCCTACTGATCTCTATTTGAAAAGCAGGTTTTGCAATCCCATAGACTTGACACAAACACAAGCCTCTTGACATAGGCCCTAAGTGACATTTTGCTCCAATCTTACATTTGTTTATGGTCAACAAAATCACAATATTCCAAGAAAAACACCTCTACTAGCTTCTGTATGGGAATCCTCAAGGGTGGAGATTTAGGCTTGTACATCCCTATGATTTGATGTGGCTGCACAGGGCTACATGCTGACCTGAACCTGCACATCCGTGTAGATTCAGGTTCACGCACTTGAACGCAGGCTGTCTGCCTCCATAGGGATGTACAGGAGGTTGCACGCAATTACAGGATGCACCTGTCTCTCCCGGGATAGTGTCTCTGCATGGGAGCGCACCCCACACAGATCTGCACATCTGTATGAATGAATGTGCTGTTTTCTTACAGCATAATTCCTCCTTTTCATGATTTTCACAGACAAATACAGTAAAGATACACTGAGGTGTTTGAAGTCTGATTGTTTTATGATTTCCTGTCCTACTCTTAGATCCCCCACCTAGTAGATAGATGACTCATTTTCAGTTAAAGGCTTGTTTCCATTTTACTAAATTAAAAACTAAGTGTGTTCTCTTGCCCTCCCCGTCTTTCCATTCTTGTTGTAGCACATCTTGTTTATAAACAGAAGCAGGCTTGGCAATTAATGAAGCAATGTACCGTGGGAAATCAAATCAGATGTAAACATTTGTAGTAAAGGCATAGATAAAATGGATTATGACACGCTAATAAATGAGGAAGCGCCAAGGAACTTAATTTTAAAGGAAAATGATCGTGGGCGTTGGGGAGTTCTCGTTTGAAACCAATGCTGAAAAAAGATATCCTATCAAAAATACATTAATTCCTGAATAACAATGGGATGTCTGTCCTTTCTCTCACCTCATAAATAACACCACTTATAACACCAACGCCTGTGGCTGTCAGAGTATTGCAGTGCCTCATGGGACTTGTAGTTCCACAACAGCTGGAGTGCTGAGGTTGCCTACCCCTGTACTAGGATAACACAAGTCCTGACTCATCTACAGTTTATGTAATTATGTTTCTTGGTTAATACATGGGCGGCACAGAAGCCTTTGTTTGTTTCCAACAAAACATGTTTCCACTGAATTACAAATGACTTTCCTGTAATCTTCATTTTACTGCTGAAATGATGCTAAACCATTTTGACCATTATGAGCACACAAACATGTTTTATTAGAAGGCTTCTTATTGTGGAGTGAAAAACAAGGTATTTCTAAATGAGCAAGTGCTGGGCCTGACATGACAATAGAGGGTGCTGTGAGCTTACAGGAAGCTGCAATTTCCAGACTGTGGAACATACCGTATATAGCAATAGATGGGGATGAGTCTGGGTGAGCCTGCTGTCTGTGCATTGCTATATACAACATGTCCTATGGTTTGGAAACTCAGGCAGAGCTGGCACATTTATCTGGGGTGCCTTGACACGGAAGTGTGGCTATCCACATGTATTTGCAAATGCATGCAACAAAAACCTCTGTTTTTAACCTAAGTAGTAGATTCATTTTTCGTTAAACATACATTTGGATTCGTTCACACTCGGACACGTTCAAATTCAGAAATTCAGATGCATCCAAATGTCCAAATTTAACAACATACGTACAAATACCCATTCGTAACTAATCTAAATTTACATGTCTACCATGTAAATTTATCTTTCATACCTTCTAACTGTCCTACATTTGTAGGAGCTGTCCCTCATTTGGAGGGATTGCACCTTATTTAAAGAGACTGTCCCTCATTGGGAGGAGCTGTCCATTATTTGGAGGGATTGCACCTCATTTAAAGAGACTGTCCCTCATTGGCAGGAGCTGTCCATTATTTGGAGGGATTGCACCTCATTTAAACAGACTGTCCCTCATTTGGAGGAGCTGTCCATTACTTGGAGGGATTGTACCTCTTTTAAAGAGACTGTCCCTCATTTGGAGGAGCTGTCCATCATTTAGAGGGATTGTACCTCAATTAGAGAGAATGTCCCTCATTTGGAGGAGTTGTCCATAATTTGGAGGGATTGCACCTCTTTTAAAGAGACTGTCCCTCATTTGGAGGAGCTGTCCATCATTTAGAGGGATTGTACCTCAATTAGAGAGAATGTCCCTCATTTGGAGGAGTTGTCCATAATTTGGAGGGATTGCACCTCTTTTAAAGAGACTGTCCCTCATTTGGAGGAGCTGTCCATCATTTGGAGGGATTGCATCTCACTTAAAGAGACTGCCCCTCAATTAGAGGAGCTGTCCATTATTTGGAGGGATTGTACCTCATTTAAAGAGACTGGCCCTCATTTGAAAGATACTGCCCCTCGTTTGGAGGGGCTGCCCATCATTTGGAGGGATTGGGCCTCATTTGGAGGGACCATCCCTCTTTTGGAACCAAATCCCTCTGTCCCTCTTTGCTCCTCAGTTGTCCCCTTTTTTGGTGTCATATACAGATGTCTATGAGAAGGTCTATTGAGCTACCAAAAGTGTTATTCTGCACTAAAACCTTTATCTCATTTCTTAATTATCTTGTTTGCTATGTAGTCAGTATAAAGGAAAAGTAATGATGAAAAATTCTGGGTTTAACCAGTAATATTTGGAATATAAATTCTTAAAGGTTGGCATAACTGGTGTGTGTCCATTGCCTAAATACATTGTGCTGAAAGGTGTCCCTCTTTCACATCTCAAAGTTGGGAGGTATGTTTTTTCCAGTGTCCTTCTCTAATTTAGTTTCACTTTGTTACTAGGGCCTGACTTTTTCTGACTTCATGTCTAAACTTCACCAAATACTATCTAATAAGACAGTCTCAGTGGCCAGTAAGGCACTCTCGTTGGACAGGGAAATGGCAGATGGCAAGATTTAGGCTTGAAATCAGGGAAAGTCAGGGCCCAGTAACAAAGTAAGACTAAATTAACGGGGCTTACAGAAGAGGTCCACTATCTCAAAACCACTCATTTCCATTTGTGCAAAAGCATTGGTATGGCTGCATTTATGTTTAAGGTATCGAAACCAAAATTGAGTTTTTACTGTTTTTAACTTCTTTCATAAGCTTTTCTAAATTGTGTACAAATCCATGATCTTTTGGCAGGCTGGAAAGGGACTTTGCTTGGAGTTTCAATGGCCACAGTAAACGCCATGGTAACAGAGTACCAGTGTGATGTGAAGGATATACGGGTTGTTCTGGGACCATCAGTGGGTCCATGCTGCTTTACCCTAACTCAAGAAGAAGCCAGAGCTTTCCATGACATAGACCCGCTGTGTGTCTTGCAGATGGAATCCCCAAAACCATATGTTGATATCAGAAGAGCTACTCGGTAAGCCAGATGCTTTGACAACTAAAATATTTTGAATATATCTGTTACACAGTGCTCATAGAGTGTTAAGGCCCTATTCACACTTGCAATACAAAGCAATGACAGCTGGTGGTGTCTGCAGCCATTTACGTGTAATAGGACATGCTGTGGTTACCTGCGGACAGTCACCCTTGGGCGTGAACTGTTTGCATCCAGGAGCGATCATCTGTTAGTAATCGCAGCATGTCCGATTACATGCGAATGGCTGCTGTTCATATGAGTCTAATGGAGCAATTCATGAGACCTATTCAATTGGCCTTATTTGTAAGTGTGAATGGAGCATTAGGGCTGGTTCACACCAGCCCCAGTGCGTTCTGGCACGATTCAGTGCCAGAACACACTAGATCGCATCCCGGCCAGTTCACTGCATTCTGGGGTGGGATGGGGCGTGACGGCGCATTGAAGTCAATGGCACCTGAGCCACCCCCCCAACCACAGTGCGATCGCCGCACCCGAATGCGTGGCACATCAATGCCTGCGTTTCGGTCCAGTGTGATCAGAAAAAAATGCTGCATGCACTATTTTTTCTGTTGTGGGCGAATCATGCCGGAACGCACTGGGGCTGGTATGAACTAGCCCTTAAAGTGAAAGCAAACTTGTGTTCTAGTATAGTAAATAAACTAAGATTGCTACTGCACACAAGGATTATAATACAAGCTCTGCTTTTACATTCAGAGAGTGCTCCTATATGAATCCCACTCCCTAATAAAGGGAAGAATTGCTGACCCTGTTGTGGAAATTTTATTATATGGAATTATGTGGACATTTTATTTTAGGATGTGTGTGTTCTATAGATTGTCATCTGTCTCCCTGTGTCGGATGTAACCGAGGAACGTTCTAGCAGAGGGTTCTTAGGTTGAATCGGGACCAGCGGTAAAACCGTCAGTATGAAAACCTTCTCATGGGCTTGTAGACATGTTCGCAGTGTGTGGGGGCGTTTGCCGGTTTGTGAGTACTAAGTGCAATGCGCTGGGCTCCTTGTCTTCAAACGTATGTACACATTAGCGAAGCGAAGTCTGTATAACGAGATGCGTATTATACCTCTATTGCGGACTGCGCTATCCGTTTCTTTTTTTACTGCCACCGCTGCCGCCCCGAGGCCGAGCCTCGGTGGCCTTGTGGGAAATCCGGGCCTGGTCGTCCTATTGCCTTAATAAATGAAGAAGTTGGGTCTGTTCACCCCTTTCTACACTGACTCCAGCTTGAACCAGCATTGTGTCTGACTCTCTCTGGCGCTAAAGAAGTTCTTCACCCCTTATACAGAAAGAACTGAATGCAGCGTGCTTTTAACAGCGACAGGATTTTTTTGTGCTGGGCGCATTTTAATACTGAACGTGTACCTTTTAGTGCACCGGAGATTTGTGCAACCAAAATATCCATGACAACCCCCATCCTCATCCCACAATATAGTGCACCGTACCTGTAGCTATCTTGGACACTGTCATTCTTGCCCTTGCTTTCCCTTTCATTGTATGCAGGTTTGAGGATCACATTACACTGATACAGAAGATGTTCTCAATATGTAAAGCTTGACGCTCAGATAATTCAATAGACCCTGCAATCTCTTGCAAACTTTTATGAGAGATGGGTGAGGGAAGTCTTCTTTACCAGGATATTGAACGGTTGTTTAAAGCAGATTACAAGATACCTGTGCTGAGACTGACCAGCAGCAAGCATGTAGTAAGTCAAGTCAAGAAGTCAAGTGAAGGCTGAACTGTTGATCTTTGCTGGTTAGTAACCTAGAAAGTATTGAAGCAACTGCATTAATCTGACAGCCAGGCAACTAGCATTTCTAAAAAGTAGAGCCAGTAGAGCCAGCAGTTTCAAACGTTACATTTTCCTCCCCACAGGTTTCATTTAATCTGTTTTGGGTGGATCTCAATTTCAGTCTGTTTTGCCAAGCTATAGCTAATGAAAAAGTAACTGAAGATAATTTTCAAGACAATAAAACAAAATGTATTAAAGTATAAAGTAAAGTTTATAAATTAAGTATGAAGACAATAAAGTAAAACTTATTTAGGACTATTTGGAAAAATGAAAATAATATATTGTTATACCATGTATAAGGGCTCTCTGCAGAGTAGTATTATGTTTGGAAGGTTAGAGAGGACCTGATGTAAGTGGGTCATGTACTGCAGCTGCAGAGGAATTAAACAAACTTACATTACTTTGTTATGTCAAATATTCATGAATAAGAGCCCTCCTGAGTACTATGTTTTATTTAGTTACTAGGACATCCAGTGCAGCCCACTGTACTTGCAGTATATTCATCTTTTAGGTTCAGCTACATTACTGATGAGGCACAATATATTTAATTCTATAAATGAAATAAAGCACTGGACACTGTAAAATGTGAGACAGGAGTATAATTGTATACACATAACCATTTATCTAAAGCTTCACAGCACTAGCAATTCTTCCCCTCTTTAAAACAGAATTATAATGCTATCTGCCGTAATGCTAAATTAACTGTGAAAGCAGCAATATACTCTAGCTTTATATAATTCATTCCTGCTCCTTTATTTTCTTAACTCTTTCCATGGTGCAGTCCCCTAAATTCTTACACCTAATGATGTAGGCAAAGATGCTGCAATGTATAGCTATATATGTATATACTTATATATATATACAGTATATTATATCAACTCAAGTACAGACTGTGCTTAGCTATATATACACAGTGACGGGTCCAGTGGAAGAGGCACTCATGGTTCTTGTATTGAAGCAACATAAATGCATTTATTGGTCTACGTTTTAACAACGCACTGCATGACTTACTCAAGTGATGTATATACTGTATTATATTGCACACTTTATGGTCAAAACCATTTACATCTACAAAGTTGAGCTTATTGGAAATCCCATTCTAAAACTGTAAGCATTAATATGGATTTTACGCCCACACCCTTCCCTTTGTACCTTTTTATAGCTTCCATTCTTCTGGAAAGGTTTTCCACACGATTTCTATGGGAATTCATGCCCTTTCAGGCAATCAGCATTTAAATCCATCTCAAAGATCTTTGGTTAGTGTTCTCTACAGATCAGATCGAATTTCCTTTGCGCCAAACTCATCAAACCATGTTTGTATGGAGTTGGCTATGTGCACAGTCATGCTCAAAAAGAAATGGTTCTACATCTCTGTATGTAGGATCAATGTTACTTACCCATCACTGGAAACACCTGAGCTTTGGAAGGATGTCCATATGTTATTAGTAATCACAGTTGGCATACTGGGTACTGCAGATCATTTTCTTTTACCTCACCAAGAAAAAAAAAAAAATAGTTATTTGTGGCCCTATCTAGTTGATGTTTTTAAACAGGCTCTTAATTGAAACATTCAGTCCACAACTAGTAAAGAATTCATATCTGTCTTGTGTTTACATTACACCATTGTAAGGGCTCCACAACAAAAATGCATTTCGGCCCTTCACTATTTTGTTGGTGTTTCCCTTATCTATTAGAAAATTAAACAAACATTCCAAAACAAAATTTGTATCTAGTGAAACTCTCTGTATACCTAGCTTTAGGCAATCACAAGCTTATAGGAAGTTTATCTCTCTTGATGTTCATTACATAATTAATGTTTTAGGTGCAATATTGCCGTTTTCTCCCCCTGTATGGAACACGAACTGTTGAGACACCAGCTTTCATTATTTCACTGCCCTAAGTTTTTGTGCAGGTTGGAATCTTTTGTTTGATGTTGATGATTTGGCACATCCTATTGCTGCCCAATGTACTGAATAGTGAACTGTTCAGTTCTGAACAATCAGATATACAGTATATGGAAGAAGAGCTCTGAATACTTTGTTGGAGAGCTTCTCTTACAATCTCTTTTCCAAATCTCAGCAGTACACACATCAGTTAAGATCTCTACTGGCTTGCTGGGTCTATAAAGAACTCCGTCTGTTAATTGTAATACATATTACAGGCACCCTGTTTAAGCATGCTGTGAATGAAGGAACTGTAAGCCTTGCTTATTTCATGGAAACATGACTGATTATGACTATTTTTTTATTCTAGTCTTCTCCTGGAACGTGGTGGCATTCTGCCTCAGAATATTCAAGATGACACTATTGCAGACAAGAGCCTAAATGTTACACTCTGCACCTCTTGCCACCCTGAAAAGTTTTTCTCTCATGTTCGAGATGGTGAACATTTTGGAACACAAATCTGCTTCATAGCCATTAAAGACTAATCAAAAATGACTCATTGATCTACTCAGGAATATGAAGAATGGACTTAATTTGAGACTATTTAATGTATTATGGCTTTCACCTAAATGCAAGATATTTTTTAAGACTGTTGTTTTTTTCTTTATTATTTACTGTTAGTAGGTTATAAGAAATATTATTAAGGAACCTCATCAAAATAATATGTAGCAATATTAATAATAATAAGCAATTCAACAATGCAATTAATCTTATTTGAAATACAGTATATATTTAGTATATGCATTTCAAATAGACAAGAAGGCACTGGTAGATTATATTAAACAACCACGAGCTTCTGCTACAGTATAATAGTAGGAAGAAGGGTTACGCTCCGATAAACCTATCGTAAAGTGATTGTATCGCAAACCGAGGAGTTGTATATACATGAGATATTCAACACTTTATTATAATATACAGTAGGCTTTTGTCCATCTGTAGGTTAATGTAATTAAACTGAACGACTGCAACCCAAGGAGCATCTGTACATGTATATACTGTATATTAGTACTATGTGAAGATGCAGTGTTTGACAAAGGCATATATCAGACTTGGTTGTGTTCTTGTCATGTGAACATGTAGACTTATTGGTAGAGGTGCACGGAAATGGAATTTTCAGACCGAAACGAAAATAAAAGAATTGTCAGGTCAAAATTGAAACCAAATTTTTTTTCTAACCTTTTTAAAATATTTTTTTCAATATTTTCTTTTCATTTATTTTGTTTGTTTTACTTTACTGTCGGGGGCTCTGGGGAAATATCAGGGGTCTAAATAGATCCCGGATATTTCCCTTTTGAAATAGAAAAAAATAATAATGACACAGAGTTCTCAATCTCTTTTTCTGCAGCCCCTGTTATGAATGAGTTACTATGTCCACAATCATGAATGAACAGGAAGTGATGTAGAGCACTTCCTATTCATTCATAATTGGGGACACGGTAGGCATTCTATGTACTGAATTATTTACAAACACTCACTGATCAGCTGATTCTTGAGTGCTTGTAACCGCTCTCCATCCTGACTCCTTTGGCTATGAAAGGAGACAGAGCGGGCAGTCCAGGGAGGAGAGCTCACCCTCTTGTGAAGCAGCTGACAGCTAACTCCTCCCTGCTCTCCATCCTAAATTTAGGTGCATCCCTACGTATTGGTCGATTATTGTAGCAGCAAGGTGTTGGTCAGAGGTCCTATAGTAGAAACCTTTGCCCATAAGAAAGATGCTGTTTTGTTTCCTAACCAGCAACAGGTTTTAGTATGAGATCCATGGTTGATACATAATGCTGTGTAACAAGAGTTCAGAGTAAAGAGATCCACAAGCTCAACCCATGGGCATGACAAACACTAAGGGACATATTTATAAAACAGAGAATCTGACAATCAGCAAACATTCTCTACATATGATTTTAAATGACAGCAGTTGATTCTCCACAAGAGAATGATTTGTAAATAGACACATAGGCATCAGACATTTTATTTTCTTAGACTCGTGTATTAAAGCTGAACTCCAGACAAGCATCAAACTAAAATTAGCCCAGAGTTAGGGATAATATAATTAAATATAAAGATTTTAGATTAACTGCAAGAGGGGGCTCTGTAGATTATTGCCATCGTTCAGCATCCTTGGTTTATAGCTGTTAACACATCGGCCACAAAGGACATGCATTGACCTACAGACTTGCATTATGAGAAAGAACAGTAAAACATAACCATTGTGTAATACTGCATGTATACATTGAGCAAATATGATTGACTCATGTACATACAACTAAGTAATATACATAGGAACAAGAATTTAAAATATTAATACACATTATTTCCATCAAACTGATCTCTTTCCATACGTTAACACTATCATTTCTACTCCCAGCTCCTGCTGCTTCAGTTAAACCTTAGAGCAAGCTTTGCTTGGCCCCGGCTCCATGGACACCATTATAGACTACATTTTATTGGTATATTGAGTGATTAGCTGTTTTCACTCACATGTCATAATACTTGGGATGTTACAGATGTGTTTTTGGCAGTTGTAAAGTATCTGTTTGCAATCTGTAGATGGTGCTGTGATATTATTTACATAGACCAATTAAAATCACACCGTTGTCAAAATAGCCTCTTCTTTGTTATCATTATTTTTTATCATTTAATCATGTAAACAGCAGTGCAAAGTGTAGAAGCTCGCCCTGAGCAACCAATCTGAGATAATCTTACATTGGCATGACAGCATTAGATTGCTGTGATAGCTCTGAATCATGGGACACATCATTGTTCCTTGAGCTAAGTTATTAATTAAAAGCCAGTGTTTATGGTGGGTGTTCATTGCACCCCAATTAGAGTTATACATTACATGAAAACACTATGTACTGTACTACACTCCAACGAGCACGTAAACACAATATACTCTTTGTTAGCAAGAGCCATAAAAGGCAGGTGGTTTACTTAGCAACCTTAAAAAAGATGTTAACACATACCTTAACTGTAAATGTATCAAGTCACCTCCAGTAGGGAGATATGGTGTACGTGAATGGCTGCTGTGTACATACTACAATCATGTGTAATGATCTGTAATATTGCTTTTATATATAAACAGACTAGTTAAGCATGACTCATAAACTGCAGACTTAGAAGAAAAACACTAGCTTATATAACTTGAGAAGTACACTTTAGTTTGCTAAACCTGAACATAATGGAACAAGTGTATTGAAAGACGGACTGATGACTGATCTATAATTACTTTTTAAAAGGCAGTAAGTAAAATGTCTAGGTTATGTTGTCTCTTTAATCCATTTTGTAGTATTGATCCAATAAAAAATCATTTTGAATAGGTGCTTACTTGATTTAAGGCTCAGGTGTTGGCCAGTATGCCTTTACTTTGCATTGATGGATAGGCTAGAACAGGGGTAGGCAACCTTGGCTCTCCAGCTGTGCTGAAACTACAAATCCCATGATGCTTCGGCCTCTGGGAGTCATGCCTGTTGCTTGCAATGTCTTTTCTTTTTTCTTAACAGTTAAATCATTAGGAAAGTGCTGATCAACACAGAAGGAATAAAAGAGTGTTAAACTTTTCTTCAAAACAACCTTATTATTATGCAGTGACTGCAATAGAGATCTTCATTAATATAGATGGTTTAAGCAGTTTAAACTATAGGCAAAATAAATGCTTTCCTCTCCAAAGGTACAAAATATGTATAAAAATACATAGCTAATTCTAGTGTCAGATTCCTAGGCGTTCACTACTTTTATTTGTATATAAATCCTTAGAAAAATAAATGTAGATGTTCTGAATTTTTAACATTTCAAACAGCCTTAGAAAATCCAGGCACCTGTTGATCCTTTGTGTTACCTAGACATGTATGTAGCGGTCTGCCACACATACTTTTCATTTGAAGTACCTGCTAATCCTGTAAAGTATGGTAATGTACCTTGCTGACTCATGATAAGATGAACTAATGACATATTTTCCACATTAATAATAGCTATTTTATCATAGAAATCACACAAAGACAGCTGTCATACAAAAAAAATGTAGATGTAGAACAGCACAGAACATTATAAATATATACCTGATGACTGTAGAATGTGTAAATATATATATCTAGATATATATATCTAGATATATATCTAGAAATATATCTAGATATATATATATTCATAACTTCCTCCAGCCTTGTTTTGCAAAAGGTGGAATTCGTCCTCAAACTATCATAATGTTTAGACCATTGCTAGAACACTGCTCTCTACATTCAGACGGCACAGAGCAGTTAGTCTTTCATCGGCCACAGTGGATCTCATTCCTTATCTGAGCCCATGTGCTGAAAGATCTAGCTCATGAACAACTAATAACCATTAGGGATGAGCTCAGGTTCAGACCGAACCTAGTCCAAACTTGAGCTCCTCTGAAAACAGGAGTTCCTCCAAACATGAAAGGAAGCTCCTTCAGCTGCCACTGGACATAAGCAAAGGGACGGGATGCAGTTACATCATTGATCATATAAGTCCACATGCTATATTTAGCAACTGACATTTACCTAATATGGCCATATAAAGTCAATTACATCAGCACAAGCATCCCTCTCTTTTGTTTATGTTCTCCTGTGGGGGCAGGGAATGTCCTGGCCCACAGCTGATTGGGCAGGTGCTCCCATGGCACTTCAGGGTTTGGCCCAGGTTGGGTCTGAACTTAAGCTCATCCCTAGTGACCATCATGCTCAAATATATTCTACGAGCTACATTACCACTTGAAAAGGTATCAGTGAGTGAGACATGACCAGAACTTGGCAATGTCTGCAATCTGGACAATTTTGTCCAAGTATACCTTACTGAAATTACTGGGGAAAGCAATAATAAGTGTTCTGCCCTCAGGCATGGGATTTTTGACTTACCTACCTGCCATCTCAAAATCAGCCACAAGGTGGTGCTGAAGAGAAAATCTTTATTTACAGTAAAGCAGGCTGTTTTCCTATGGTAGGTTCCCAGCAACCTCTAACTCAAGAAGAAGGGAACAAGTCCATCTTGGAACTGTGGAGAGGAGGATCTAGTGCCATGCTAAGCACATGTTTGGAGAAAACACCCAGATTCCCCTTAGGGCAGCATCGCTGGTAGGGACGGACTTTTTTCTCTTTATATTTTTGAGCTATCAATCTATTTACATGTTCATATATTGATTGTATGTTTTCATGTTTTTCTTTTACCAGTTTCACCCACTCTGTTTTGTTAATAAAACTTTAAGATTTCATCCAGTCTGCCTTATTGCAGAATAGGAGGTTATAGCTTCATGTCGAGCTATATACAGGCCACAGGGTAACGTGTAACAGGGACAGAACAATAAGTTTAACTATGACTTTGAACCTGTCATACACTGATTGGTGCACTACCCTGCATTCTTGTAAAGCAACAGACAACTGATTAAAAAAAGAGGCTTCTGGCATCAAGTTTTAACTCATCATACCTTTGCCGAAGTGATTTCAGAAACTTTCTAGAGACTAAATTAGGTCTACCACTTCCTTCAGGTAAAATTCAACTCCTTGAATAGGTTTTTGTGCTTATTAAACCGTTCAAGAATTACACTCCAGATCTTGGCCATCAGAACAGTTCAAG